CCTTCTTTCAGCAGTTTGTGATCTGTAAATGCAGTAAGAGTGGAGTTAAGAAATTATTTAAAACCTGTTCACAGCTCACACTGACGTGATTTTACATGTGCTTACATAGAAGTCAGCAGACCTCCAAACTTTTTCAGAACAAGCAGCAATGCACTGCCCAAGTTTGAACGACATTAAAATAAGTCATTTGCATTCTTTGCATTACATTGGGTTTGAAGGTATTAGTGTGGTCGGCCCTCATAGGGCTCTTGGCAATTTAAGTGGTAGCAAAGGCTAAATCACTATTTATATATTTAGAAAAGAAGTTTCTCTCTCCCTACCAACCCTGCATATAGATGTCTATGTACTTACCCTTTTTAAACTCGATCCAGTCACATGATGTGGCAGCTCTTGCTCTCCTGTGTAAGGAAGAGCTTCTTGCTCTCCCCTATAGCAGTTGCTTATTGACACTGGAGCAGGAGATGCTGGGTCACGTGACCAGACCAGACTAAAAATAGGTCCGTTCGTATTTTTTTTATACAGGATATGCCGAATAGGTTGAATAGGAACTAAACACATTAACTACTTCTTAGAACAGTTATACTCAAAGCATGTAGTAATTGATAACTGTCACATTTTCTTGTGCTGTCAACCAAACTGTCAAGGCATCAAATGGCTGATATAACTGATGTACAGCACCATCAAACAGAGGCCAAGATGCCAGCTTCCTTGGCTGTAAAGGATGGAAGCATTTAGTTCTGCTTTAAGAATAGTTGGAATCAGTCTTTTCTTCCACTGAAACAAACAAGTATGGGGAGCAGATGCCTTGCCGTTTTGCTCTTCATACTGGTCTTTAGCAATGCTGCATTATATAGGGCTGATAGGCAGAAAATAAATTGGGCCTGTCATGGCATCTTTTAGTGCACAGAAAGAGAAGGCAGAAGAGGTTATATTACAAACGTGTCAAGCACCTCTGGATATACTGAGAGCGAACCACAATTCTGTAAGTATTCTTCAACTATTCCATCGCATGCAGGACAAATTGAAAGACTCTAAATAACAGAACATGGCCTGCACAAGGTAGATGTTTAAAGAAAACACAGGTTTTCCCCAAACTAATTATCTTGCTTCCATTTTACAAGCAGAGTGCTGCAAAAAAAGGTGTGCTTGGGGCATACATATAAAATTAGTAGCTATGCATAAGTAGCTATTTGGTAGATTTTAACTTCCTTAGTAAAACAGCAATTTAAGGATGAACAGCACTGGTGAATAACAGGGTACTGAAAGGTTACCAGTAAAGAGTAAAGCTGGGTACACATTTTCAGTTTCTATTCGTTCAAATGCTGGTTTTCTAGAATGACAATTAGATGAACTCCAGCTGTACACACGGATCTGCTGAATCAGCCAGCTTTCAGCCAATGTGTACTGGTCTGGCTCCGTTTTCTATTTCCCTAAATCAAATGATACAATAAAATAAATATATTTTTATATAAAATGCAAATAGCATAACATAAGGCAAATAGCTAAGGTTCAGCACACTGGAAAAAAGCCCTGTTTCATTGATTATTGCATTTATAAGAAAGCATTACATGACAAAACTGACTTTAGAGAACTAAGCCTATATTACACTAGTGGTACCCCCTTTAAAAGGCCATATATTAATGAATTATTCATGTGAACTCTAAAGAAACACAGCAGAAATACTTCTTGCAGTACCAGCGACTGATTTCCCACAGAATTAAAAACACTTGCACTTAGCAAAAACATATTCAACAGTTGTAGAAGTTCATGTGACACAATCTAAAACTTAAAGTTATGTATGGCTGTCTCTGGTGTTGTGAAAGTTAACCGCAGCTACTTGAAAAAAAAAAAAAAAAAATGCACGGCCCACCTCCCTTCTGCACTCTGCACCATCCAATGACGGGATCTCCTCTGCCCATGAACAGGATGCAATGCATTGTAGGAGGCAGTAATACAAACAATATGGAATGACGGAAAGGGCAGAAGGAATGTGCAACTACCATCATCTTTCACAGCACTGGAAGAAAGGGCAATATCCAGTACCTTGGAAGGAGACACTGCAGGGCGGCTTTTTAGAAGAAGCAGCCGTCTGCAGGTAATATGATACACACCACTGCATATACCTAATGTTTACTGTATCTCACAAAATGCTGTACTTCACTTCTAATATTTTCTGCTTATGCTTTAATTCTGTGAGTTATGTTGAATACAAATCTACTGTACACTTAGGGATCTTCTTGTTTGACAAAGATATTCAATTAATTACAGATTATAACAATTAGGCCATTCTGTATGCCTTCCTACCTATACTTCATGTACTACAAAGCTACCATAGATAAAGCTCTGCATCATTCTAACAAGGAGCTGACATTTTGTTAAAAGAAACCTGACACAATAGAAAAAATATTTGAGATAGCATTGCCGACTTGTTTTTGTGAAGCAGTTTTCCTTACTCTTGTTTCATTAAAATGGTGATCCACTGGCCTGCAACAAACTGTCAACTGAGTCATCAGGCCATATATGATATTGTTTTTGACACCAAAATATTAAGTAAAAAAATAACATCCGCAAAGGCCTAAAATAAGCCACTGACTTGCTCAAAAATAAGCTATCAATATTAAAAATACTTTTTAGAAAAAGAAAAAAAAAAAAAAAACTAGAGACCAATCAAATTGTGAAATGGAGCCTAAAGCACCACCTGCTGACTAAAAAGCAGAAGGCATAGTAATTTACAGTGCTTCATATGTGTCTGATTGAAAAAAAAAAAGTTTGTCATTTTTAAAACTACTACGCATCCCTTAAATTATTTCCTCCCTGATCTAAACCTAAAAATGTAACCTTTAACACAATCACCCCCTAACCTTAACCAATCACTGGAGGTAAGGCCTTAAAGTGGAACTAAACTTATGTTTAAAAAACATTGATGGCAAGCACAAATCTTACCTGTCTGCCAACAATGCTTTTCAGAGTGTACACAAAGCCACACAAGTGTAAAATCCAGTGGTTGCTGCATGCCAGGATGCACACCAGGAGTTAAAGATGCTGAAACAAAACAACTAGGCAGAGATGACAGCAGCAGTGAGAGGAGGACAAGAGACATTGTGGCTGTTCCAGAGCTGAAGTGGGGCACTTTGGTAGGTAATACGATCTGCATATTTGCACACTATACCAAAACCCTGGCTACCAGCAGTATAGTTTAATTCCACTTTAACCCTCCCACAAAATGAAAGTAATCTATTAAACCAAGCCTAAAATGCAACGAGTAACTTAACCTTAACATGACCCCTGTGAAGTCTGTAAAATTTGCGAAAGCCAAGTCCCTGCAATACAAGAATTCCGATACCCACCCCTTTCAAGGGTCATGCTTTCTATCTTTGAGTTCTGAAGCCTCAGGCAATTCTTAGTTCCTGACACTGAGACTAAAAGATTTGATATCAAAATAAATAATGAGAATGACAGCCCCAGAGTTTTTACTTTCAAAAAGAAGTCAGAAATGGCAGCTCCCATTTTTATTGGTATTTTTCTTTTGCACCAGGTCAACCTTTCAATGCTGGAAGCTCAATTCAGTGGTTTGAAAATTTCAGACTACTAGTCTCTACTAATGGGGAAATTATTGCCTTATCTAGTGGAGCTTTAGTGTGTATGCAGAGTTGGCCTTGTATGCCTTGAACAATATTTCATGCCAGGTTGAAAAAACAAAAACAAAAACCTGAATACATCCATTCCTACATGCAGTTAGAAGTCCTTGTGTTCAGTTTGAGTAGCTAAACAATACAATTGTGGGATGGCAATAAGAAGGAACATATTACATTTAAAGAAAGATATGCACAAGTGAAAATTTGCTTTCTGTAACAGCACTTATAATACAGAGCTGTTGGCAAAAGACACTTTTGCTCTACACATTTGTAAGTGGTTGAAGAAAGCTTGGTAACAAGGAATAACTGCATAAATCAACAGAAAAGAACGTTATCTTGGGCAAGAGGAATCTTAAAGAACACTGTAGCCATTGTGAAATGTAATGAATCTGCAATACTATATAGATTCCAAACGCCTTGAAGGTGGAAGTGGTAATGGTAATATAACTACCTGTGGTGTATCCCTACATCATGTGTTTGCTGGATACAGTTTATTCCCTAGAAACCGTGGCAAACATCATATGGGATGAATGGTATGACAAACACAAGCTGCATTTAACAGTCTAGAGTGAAAGCTGCTAATCAAACAATGAAAACTGATCTCAAGTCTGGATAGGTACAGATGTGCTTAATCACCTGCCAGCGGGCACCTGCCTTCAAACAATTTGCCACCTTAAGCATAACAATAAATTGAGGATAAGGGAATGGAGAAACCACCAGGCAAGATTCTTTTTTTTTGGGGGGGGGGGGGGGGATCAGAGCCAACTTAATCACAATGCAAGTTATAAACACGTAGACATGGAGAGATCACCCCAAACCAGTCCGATTTTCCTTATAAGTTTTATGTAAAAAGCAAATGCACCGATACAAAAGTGCAATCAGATACTGTTGTATGTACAATAAAACAGTACAATATTGAAAATAATTAAAAAAAAACATGCAGGAATAAAGTTCCCAGGAAATGAGGTGTTTTGCAAATTGCACCCCTTCCGAAATAGTTTTTTGTTTTTTTTTTTGTTTTTGTTATTTTTTTTTACATTTCTACCCAAAACCCTTGATTTCAGTCACAAAATTCAGCACCATGGTGCCTATAGAGAAGTGCAAATTTTTTTAATAACCTCCATGTATTTTAACAAATGAGCAGCCATTTTTATCTTTTTTTAAGATTTTGTTTTCTTTTTGAGATTTTTTTTGTGTTGGAAATCTTCATGATCCATTTCCGTGGCTAGCTGGAAAAAAACAAAATAAAAAAGGAAACAAGTCAGTTTAAATGTTTATAAGCTTCTGGGAGGGATATGAACAAGTCTGTCAATATTTAGTTCTGTTGCGGCACATTAAAGGAGGAGTTAAGTCTGGCCACAGTAGCTATCTGCACAGGTCTGTTTCTCGCTTGTGCTTGCGTTTCTTGCTGTGGTAGTGCTGGTGCTGTGCTTTGCCGCTTTGTATGTGCCGGCTTGGCACAGATGTGCCTTGGCTTGTGTTGGGTGGTGCCTGGAAACTTTTGCTGGACGAGGTTGAACGGAAAAGTCTAGTAGTGCCATGCTGAAAAAGAAACAGAACATACATGGTTTAATTATGTGCATCAATCCCACGAGCAACCAAAAAAAATCAACACTCCAATTTGAAGTCGCTTACACCCTTCACACACTCAAGGTGTCTCAAAGTCTGAAATAAATGTGTTAGTGCAGCGCCTCCCTACTACTAATCCTAAACACCTCTTGAAAACCTCATCACAAACATAAGTGTATAACAAAACATAAAAATATTCAGAAAAAAAGTCCCATATATGAAAAATATATAAAGTCCCATATACAGTGAGGAACAGAAGTATTTGAACACCCTGCGATTTTGCAAGTTCTCCCACTTAGAAATCATGGAGGGGTCTGAAATTCACATTGTAGGTGCCTTCCCACTCTGAGAGACCAAATTTAAAAAAAATTCAGGAAATCACATTGTATGATTTTTAAAGAATTTATTTGTCTTGCACTGCTAAAAACATACAGTAAGTATTTGAACACCTCAGAAAATCAGTGTTAATATTTGGTACAGAAGCCTTTGTTTGCAATCACAGAGGTCAAACGTTTCCTGTAGTTCTTGTCCAGGTTTGCACACAAACCAAAGGGAAGGAGGTTGTTGCTCAAAATCTCACAATAAATGGCCCCATTCATCCTCTCCTTAATACAGTGCAGTCGTCCTGTCCCCTTCGCAGAAATGCACCCCCAAAGCATGATGTTACCACCCCCATGCTTCACAGCAGTGTGTTCTTGGGATGCAACTCATCCTTTTTCCTCCAAACACGACGAGTGAAGTTTGGACCAAAAAGTTCTACTTTGGTCTCATCTGACCACGACTTTCTCCCATGCCTCCTCTGGATCATCCAGATGGTCATTGGCAAACTTCAGATGGGCCTGGACATGTGATGACTTGAGCAGGGGAACCTTCCGTGCAATGCATGATTTGAAACCATGACAGCGTAGTGTTCTATCGACAGTGATCTTTGAAACTGTGGTCCCAGCTCTCTTCATGTCATTGACCAGCTCCTCCCTTGTAGTTCTTGGCCGATTCCTCACCTTTCTTATCAGTGATACCCCACGAGGTGAGATCTTGCATGGAGCCCCAGTCCGAGGGAGACTGACAGTCGTCTTTACCCTCTTCCATTTTCTAACAATTGCTCCAACAGTTGATCTATTTTCACCAAGCTGCTTGGCAATTGCCCCATAGCCCTTTCCAGCCTTGTGGAGGTCCACAATTGTGTCTCTGGTGCCTTTTGACAGCCCATTGGTCTTGCCCATGGTAGTAGTTGGCGTCTGACAGACTGTGGGGTGGACAGGTGTCTTTAAAGAGCTCAGATAGGTGCTACTAAGTTAGATTAATGAGTGGAGTAGAGGTGGACTTTTTAAAGGCACAATAACAGGTCTTTGAGAGCCAGAATTCTTGCTGTTTCTTAGGTGTTCAAATACTTATGTGCAAGACAAATATATTCTTTAAAAATCATACAATGTGATTTCCTGAATTTTTTTTTTAATTCGGTGTCTGAGTGGGAATGCACCTACAATGTGAATTTCAGACCCCTCCATGACTTCTAAGTGGGAGAACTTGCAAAATCGCAGGGTGTTCAAATACTTCTGTTCCTCACTGTATAATAGGATCTCTTGATGCTCCTCCACTTCATAAAACAAACCAGTGTTCCTCCAACACCCAGATTGTGTTCTCACCTAGAGCTTTGTGACCTCACATTTGATAATATTTTGGTCATACAGTGCTTGTGTCCTCTTAATAGGACTGATGGAATGAAGATTCCCCAGGTGGTGGTTCTCCTGCAGCAAACTTAGAAGCTTGTATTTCTTTTTCCTCCGCTTTCCAACGGTCCGTTAAAAAACAGAATAGGCAGAAAAAGCGCTTTATCATTCATAACACTATTATAAAATAGATATAAAAATACCACTTACAAGTTTTTGGTGCTAGATCGCACCAGATGTAAACCGCATAACAATGAGTCTTCTTCAGTATCCTTCCTCTGATCTTGCGTCGTGATATCAGCTAGCTACTCCCCTACGCATTATGCCACAGGTCACATGCTTCCTCAGGGGGATATGTCCTGACATATGCCCCCTGAGGAAGCCATAATAATAAAGTGTTATGAACGATAAAGCACTATTTCTGCCTATTCTATTTCTTTAACGGACCGTTGGAAAGAGCAGTAGAAGGAGATACAAGCTTCTAAGTTTGCTGTGGGAGAAGGAGAACCACCGGGGAATCTGCATTCCAGCAGTCCCATTAAGAGGACACAAGCACTGTATGACCAAAACATTATAAAATGTGAGGTCAAAAAACTCCAGGTGAGAGCACAATCTGGGTGTTGGTGGAGGAACATTGGTTTATGTTTTATGAAGTGGTGAATGAGTGGAGCATCAAGAAAGATCCTATTATATATGGGACTTACTTTATATATTTTTTGTATATGGGAATTTTCCTGAATATTTATGTTTTCTTATACACTTATGTTTGTGATAAAGTTTTCAAGAGGTGTTTAGGATTAGTAGTAGGGAGGAGCTACACGAATATATTTATTTCATACATTGTTTAGTTGTGGCTTAATTAAACTATAACCAGGTTGATCATTTTAATGTGATCAGACTAGAAAAAGTACATTTCAACACAAAGTGATTTCAATATACTAACACATGACAGAGCTCAGACTGAGGGAAGGAGAAACTGCTCAAACTGTCAATCAGTTGTTCTGATCTGAAATGCATACTTAACTGCAGCAATGAAAAATCCAGTCTTGTTTCTCGCCAGACAGGACTGAGCTGTGTGGCAGGGCTGTGTAAATCTCAAAACTGGATAGACATAAATATACATCCTTTCGCAGGTATATCTGTCAGGTTTTCAGTATATAAAACATAGGCAATCTGTATAAGTATGGATGCTGCCACTGCTGACACTGAGAATGCCTGTCCATGGCCTCAATAGTAGTCCAGATAAGGAACAAGTATGCAGAAAGAAAAATCAAAGTAAAGTTGGAACAGTTCTCTAATACTTGAGGGTCTGTGGCTCTGAAAATGTCAAAACCACTGGATCAGCATTAAAACCAAAATGCAACCAGAATTTTTTTTTTTTTTTTTTTAAAACACATCACTTTAGCCATGATACATGCAGGTTTCCTTAACCACTTTGTGTCTGGGGCAATTTTGTAATTATTCCACACGTTAAAATCTGCATTGTGCCTGGAAAATTACAACCCCCAAACAATTATATATTTTCTGAACGTAGAAGCCCTGTAAAAAAGTGTATATCAAAAGCATTTTCAGTGAAAAAAAAAAAATACACTAAAATTAATTTTGGTATTTGCAGGAAGGGTTTAGGAATTACAGCTCTTAAGATTAGCCATCCCCCATTTTTCAAGGGACCAAAAGTAACTGGACACTTGAATCAAAAGCTGTTGCATGGCCAAGTGTGGGCTACTCTTTTGTTATTTCTTCATCAATTAAGCAGGTAAAAGGTCTGGAGTTGATTTTCTGTGTGATATTTGCATTTGGACTCTATTGCTGTGAACCTACATCATGCGTTCAAAGGAGCTATCCATGAAAGTGAAACAGGACATTGTAAGGCTTCAAAAATTAAACAAATCCATCAGAGAGATAGCAGCAACATTGGGAGTGGCCAAATCAACAGTTTGGTACATTCTGAGAACATAAGAACACACTGGTGAGAACAACAACATAAAAAAGGTATGGACGTCCACGGAAGACAACAGTGGTAGAAGATCGCAGGATCCTCTCTATGCTAAAGAAAAACCCTTTCACAACATCCAGACAAGTGAAGGACACTCTCCAGGAGGTGGGCGCATCATTGTCAAAGTCTACAAGCAAAAGAAGACTTCAAGAGAGCAAATACAGACGGCTCATCACAAGGTGCAAACCATTCAAACCCTGAAGAATATAAAAGCCAGATTACGCTTTGCCAAAAAACATCTAAAAAAGCCAGACCAGTTCTGGAAAAGCATTCTTTGGATGGATGAAACTAAGATTAATCTGTACCAGAATGACGGGAAGAAAAAAAAAAAGTGTGGAGAAGGCTTGGAACAGTTCATGATCCAAAGCTACGTCATCTGTAAAACATGGTGGAGGGAGCGTGATGGCATGCGCATGCATGGCTTCCAGTGGCACTGGGTCATTGGTGTTTATTGATGATGTGACAGAAGACAGTAGCAGCCAGATGAATTCTGCAGTGTTTAGAGATATAATGTCAGCCCAGATTCAGCTAAATGCAGCAAAGTTGATTGGATGGAGCTTCATAGTACAGATGGACAATGATCCAAAACACACTGCAAAAGCAACCCAGGAGCTTTTGAAGGAAAAGAAGTGGAATATTCTGCAATGGCCGAGTCAATCACCTGATCTCAACCCAACTGAGCATTCATTTCACTTGCTGAAGGCAAAACTAAAGGCAGAAAGACCCACAAACAAAGAACTGAAGACAGCTGCAGTTAGAGCCTGGCAAAACATCAGAAAGGAGGAAACCCAGTCTTTGGTAATGTCCATGGGTTCCAGACTTCAGGCAGTCATTGCCAGTAAAGGATTCTCAATAAAATATTACAAATGAACATTTTATTTATGATTATATTCAATTGTCCAATTACTTTTGGTGCCTTGAAAAAGGGGGGGTGGCTACTCTTAAGAGCTGAAGTTCCTAAACCCTTCCTCCAATTTGGATGTGCATACCCTCAAAATAAACCTGACAGTGTGCACTTTCAGCCCATATCCATTATATAACTATAGCTTGAATAGGTTTTGGTAAATACCTGAAAAAAACTAAAATTGTGCCTGTGTCCAAATATATATGGACCTAACAGTGACACTTTAAAAGCCTTTACAGTTTCTCAGTTATTAATGGCCCTAGAATTATTGCTCTCACCCAGTTTGCAGTAATACTTCATATTTGCGTCTCAGTTGCTGTTAGATAAACATGCACAATCTACACGTTTGCATGTTTGCAAGTGACTTTTTACATTTTTTTTTTATCATTCATTATTTTTATTA